TCTGCCGCGGCAGCGAAGCTTCGGCCCGAAGCTGCCCTTCACCTTGGCCCAAGCCTCGCTGTCGGAAGGCATGTTCACCTTCTTGTGCCCTGGACATCGTGGCGGAGAACCGGTGCCTGCAGTGTGGTGTGGGCGGGAAGTGAGTTCGGGCATGTCTCAAAAGGAGGAATAAGGAGGAGTGAAGCATTGGTGATGTTATTTCCATGGCAGACTGGCAGATGCATGTTTCAAGGTGGAAGGGACCTCGATGCGAACTAATTGTAGACTGTTGATGAATAATCCCCCCAGACATGGATTGAAAGCCTCTTCAGGCTTGTGGAGGGTGAAATACAACCAAGAGTCATCAAGAGTGACCAAGAGTACATTCTGCTGCAAACGGGGCAAACTCAAAGCGGCAGCTCCGGGAGGAGAGCGCAGTGGTTTCAAGCATTGACATTGATCATGTGGTTCTATGCTTGAATAGGGAGAGTCCCCTCAAAAAGGAAAATGGAATAGAACTCATTGGGCCAAGCTGTCTCCCTATTTCAATACCATGGCGCGTTGATCAGATGCCAAGAATGTGAATACGAAGTCTTCCGGGTGTGGTCATTGAGTGTTATTTACCAAGAAAACAGGAAAATCTGGATTGAGATGGGGAGCTGGGCGCCCAATTCTCAGGCTATGTTTCGTATTTCTGGCTGTGGCAATCTCTAAGAAGACGAAGGCAGGAGATCTCCAAGTGAGCGATCCATGGATCTCGGTCCTCGTCGGTCCTCGCGTTCCCTGTATTTTGATCAGTTCTTCCCACAACATCACGGGATATGATTGAACTACTACTATTCAGCATGTAAGATGATCACATGTTGTGACACAAGGACTACTAGGGGCTCCTGGCCTTACTACTAGGAACAAGAAGCTACTAGGAGCAAAGGGCATCGCTACTAGGAGCAAGGACGCTACGAACGGGGCTGCTGGCCTTACTACTAGGAGCAAGGACGCTACGAACGGGGCTGCTGGCCTTACTACTAGGAGCAATAAAGCTACTAGGAGCAAAGGGCATCGCGACTAGGAGCAAGGACGCTACGACCGGGGCTCCTGGCCTTACTACTACGAGCAATAAAGCTACTAGGAGCAAAGGGCATCGCTACTAGGAGCAAGGAAGCCACGAACGGGGCTCCTGGCCTTACTACTACTGTAGGAGCAATATTAGCTACTAGGAGCAAAGGGCATCGCTACTAGGAGCAAGGACGCTACTAGGGGCTCCTGGCCTTACTACTAAGAGCAATAAAGCTACTAGGAGCAAAGGGCACTGCATGACACTTGAAGCACCCTACCGTCTCAGGCCTCACAGTTCTCGGGCCTCGCAGTTGGCTCCTGCGTGTCTGCTGGTGGCTTTGCGATTGGCACCTTGGTCTTGTCGGCTGTCACTTTTGGATAAACCAAGGGTAGCTTCTCGCAGCGATCCATTTTTGGGCGGGTTGTAGGTCATCACGGTAAGGCTGTGTCAATAAGCATCTCTTTGAATTTTGAACGCATCCGCATGCGTAGGACTGCATACATCATCTACCTTACAAGTTTGGGCGCACAGGGTTGCGGGAATTTCTGCTTGATGGATTTCTTCAGCATTCCCAATCTGTCGTGTGAACACAATTGGTCTCCCTGGTGGAAACATCGTGCTGCACGTGCTCCGAGGCAGCATTTCTGGTGCAGCACTAAATCCCGTGGTGGCTTTGGGTCTGGCTGCGACCGGTGGTGGCCTTCCACATGCTGCGGTGGCTTGGAACCAGTTCATCGAATTGAAGATGACTAGCTTGATGTATTTGAAGGTGATTTTCCCAAACACATGCCTCGCAACTAAGGCCGGCTGTTTCGAGCCTGCGTTCTTGTTGTGGTGCGCACATGTGCGCACGTGTTTGCACTTGATGTTTTACACTTTTCGTGGCAAGCGCAAGCGAATCCTCGTGTTTTTGTGGTTTCAAGTCGACTTTTCGTGGCAGGTGCAGGACATCGGAGGCATTGGATGTGCAGGTTTCGTGGCAGGTGCAGTAATTTGGACTTGGTGATGGTCTCTGGTTCCGTGGCAGGCGGCAATGAAATTGAGCCTTGGACTTGTGGCTCGTAATTTTGGAGAAGCCCTCGTGGGTGTCTCCAGACACAGCAGTTGCGGCCAACATGGGTGACCTGCTCAGTCCAGCCTGCACAGTTGATCCGAAGTGTGCCCTCCCTTGTGTGCTCTCGAATGCTTGTTTCAGGCATGTGCTTTACACCACAGTGCGGTGTTGCTCGCATATGTGTGCTCTTGCACTTGGGGTCCTACATGTGCTGTCGTATGTTTGCTCTCTTGTGACTCTTATGTTTGTTTTCACCTGTGTCCTGTCATATGCGTGCCTCATGTGTGCTGTTGCATGTTCGCTCTTATTTGTGCGCTGTCTTGTTTGCTTTATATGTTTACTGCTCTCACGTGCACTGCTCTGATATTTGTGCTTGCATATACATATTTGTGCTCAGTGCTCTCTTGTATGTGGTGCCACCCGTGTGCTCTCATATCCGTGTGTTTTCATGCTCTCATACCTGTGCTCTCATCAACGCGTGTTCAAATTGTCGTGTTCCTCTTTGGGGTCCCTTGCCGGGACAACTCTTTAAGGTCGGGGCACGGTGGTGTTCCCACCTTGTGTTGTCAGTGCAGAGCTTGCGATGGCTTTACACACTAGGACAGTGATGGTGCACGCGAACCAAAAAAGAACTTGCATCTAAAGAGTTGAGCGTGGAATATACAGGTGTGTTATTCGACAGTTATTCTCGGCCGAGTCCTAGTGATGGAATTCTACACAGCGAAATTCCTGCGCTAGTGACGAACCAAGGCCATGACTGGCTCCCCCCAAAAGACCATTCTTCCAAGCCCTCTAATGTAGACTCTTGATTAATAAACCCTCCATATGAAGAGGTGTTTCAACTCAAATGGGGTGGTTTATTATATAATCAAGAGTCTACATTATGGCTCCACAAACGATTCGTTTGAACAGATCCAACCCTCTCCCCCAAGGCCTACACGGCAGTGCACGTCATGGCGGCCTCGCTGGCGGCGGCCTCCTTCAAGGCCCGAGTGTTTCGGTGAGCCGTGGCTTACGCGTTTCTTCTAGTGTTCGTGATGCGGTTCTGCACTTGTACTACACCCCGGAAGGTTAACATGGAACATCATGGAACCTGAAAACCAGTGGGTTGTAAAGGAAAACTGTCTTCCAAAGCTCCATTCTCAGGTTCCATGTTAATCTTCGGGAGTGTAATTAGAGACGAATAATGAAAAAAGAGCTGGCAAAGGATGCACTGTGTCTTTCCGTTTGGTTGTGGAAGCTTGTTGCATTCGGTCACCTGTATGTTTAAGCCAGGTCACACATGCGGCAGACAGCAACTTGGCGCACAAACACATGGTTGTGGGTCAAAACTCAGTTCTATGATGTTCTATGATCTATGTTGTGTACACCTCAAACATGAATAATTGCATGGAAATACGTGTTTGTGATGTTTGTGTGTGTTTGCCAAATAATTAGTTCTAAGGTGTATTCATTGAAAGTCAGGACGTCCCGTATGGTTTTACCATGTTTGGCAGAATGAGCACTTACAGGCTTTACATGTTATGGGCGGACCTTGCCACCAATTATGAACCCCAGGCGGACCTTGTCACTAAACAAAACAAGCAAAACACAGATACAGGAACCCCTATTCCTGATCGTTCATGATATTGGAAGTGTGAGCCCTTTGAAGTCTTGAAAAAGACAACGCACAGCATTGCTGGCTTTTGCAGTGTGTTTGCTGATTTGATCTCCTTCACTAGAAGGCGCAAGACACACACACACAAAGCAAATAAAAACAACAAACCACAGCCCCGCTTTCTCACACTAGCCCGCGTGCAGGCACATGTTTGGGATTACCTGCGCACACATGCGCACAAAATTTACACATTCAAGTACATGATGCATGTAACACAAGGGGTAGCGTTTCTTTTTGGACGTCCTGTATCTTTGTTTCACAGGGAAGCTCGAAATCACACTCTTGGATGAAACACCCTTGTATAAAGATCCCCGTTGCTACCGATCACAGTAGCTAAAATGCATGTGGTCGACCACGGAAAACCCATTTGATTTTGACTCATTTAGTTCCAGGGTTATCTAAAATGGGTCTTAAATAGAATGGATGACACGGATGAGCTCTTTGCACAGTCAGATTAGCCAGTCACCAGTCACGACAGAAAGTGGTTTCCTTTTTGCACTTTATACATAGAATGAGATGTATAGGTCTTTGGGTCTCACCAGTCATTTTAGATGACCAATGGTTAAGTAATTTGGAGGGTGAACCTCAGAAGTCGGTAGCAACGGGGATGTATAGAGTACATGCCAATAATTTTGAAAACAACTCGTCATGTTTTTGGGCCAAACCCTTTTGGGTGCGGGGTTCTGACCCAACCAGTTGAGTTCTGAATAGCTCGCCTTCGCGATCTAACTGTGGATTGAGGTGCGTTGAAATGAGAATGGCTTTTGGTTCACCGGAGATTGGTGATGCAGAGAGGAAAGATACTGCCAGACTGTACTTCAACGGAGTGGAGCACTTGCGGCTGCTTTTTGACTTACGACTTCTCAAGCTGTTGGCAACTGAAGTCAATTGTTGCTGGTGGCACACGCAGCACCGTAGTAGTGCCACGCGTATGGTTCAGGGTCTCAGAAGAAGTTTCATCAGCGAAAATGTATCTCTTCTTTAGAAGCTTTCGGGGGCCGTACAATGTTTTAAGACCCTTGTAATTGTTGAGCAAAGAGAAATAGTTCCGATTAAACTAGTGCGTCCAAAGAGCACTCAGCAGGTAGTTGAGTTGTAAAATGCCATGATGAGAGTGCCTTTGGCTCCGCGCTCCACAATCCCACAAAATTGGCTGCGGCAAACAGTTCTCACAAGGCTTTGTGTCAGCATTCTCTCCCTTGATCGACCCTGTCCTTCTTTTTGGTTACCTAAGTATCATCCATAGCCGCCAGGTCCGCTCCTGCTGGTGGAGGACAATGTGTACGTTATTTGAACACAATGCCTCGACACTCCTTCAATCGCTGTCCATTGGAGAGATCTTTGCTGGAGCCGTTTGTATCCTTTTGTGCCGTTTGAGCTTCCTGACTAACTACCTGACCTCTTCTGACAGTTTCTTTGGGTTTCTGCAGGAAAGCAGCGCCCAACAAAGTCTGCCTTTGATTTCCAGCGTCGGGAGCGCAACACACAGCAGGCAAGAGCCATTGTCTCATTGTTTGGGTCTTGTGTCATTTGGGGGTCCATACCTGAAAAATAGGAGATGACAGGAGATTATAGGAGCTTATAGGGATACCTCAGAGGAGATGATAGGAGCCAGTTAAGTGCGCCTCCCGCTTTCACTGTCTCAGTTACCCGCTGTCGCTCTCGGCCAGGCACAGATGGATGACCTCCAGGAACTGAGGCGTCAGCGAAAGGAGGGAGCCGATCAGCGTGACATAGGCGATCAGTGGAAAGACTGTAGCTGGTTGATTGATCCACGAGCCAAATCAGGAAGGGGCAAATCAAAAAGCGAAGTCTGCCTATTCTGTGTGGCTGTGATCAAGAATTCATTCTTGCGTTTTCCTTCTACGGCTGACATGCTGAGGAGGTCTGACATGACATGTGCAGGAGCAGTACCAAGCGGGCCCGAAATCAGAAGGAGCTGCCAAGTCAAGTTGAAGAGAAATGGTGACAGCTTTGCAGTCGTGAAATCGTGAAATCATCGGTGTTGAGCACTTGAGGTCAGGAAAGGCACTGTTTAGATTGTGATCCCAACAGTCACCATGTGGCCATTCTCCATCCCAACTCGCTTTCGAAATGCATGCTGCACCCAGGAGGCCGTGGGCCCGCAGTGCCAAGGACTGAGGGCCCCAAAGCCAAACGGCGAAACGCGCAACGATGTTGTGTTTCTCAATCCATTCTTTGATAGCGTTGTTCTTTGTGTCCACAAGATACAGAGGTCCCCAAAAGATATAGAAATGGCTTCTTCTTGAGGTTCCTCTTGAAGCGTTGGGCATCCAACATGTGGGCAGAAGCTCCGTGGGCAGAAGCATGCTCCTCTTGCAGGCCGCAGGCGCCGGCGCCGAGCTCGGCGCCGCAGCCCTCGTCAGCTGATGGATGCTGCCTCCAGCAGCTCGGTTGGCTGGGGCAGATGACCATGGATGGCCTTGACGGAGCTGTGATTGTTCAATCCACATGTCACTATTGGAATGGATCGGCATGGCCTGGATTCCATAGGGATGTGGAAAAGCAAGAAAAGGGTTGGGAGACGTGCGAAGCCTTGTCTGTTGCACAGTGACTCCACAAGTTTGCCAGTTCTGAGGTGAACAGTGAGTCCTTAAGATCAAAAAGGTGCTGAGCAGACGGGGAGAAGGTGGAAAGACTTGGAAAGTCATGGTCGATTGCATATGGTCGCATGGCTTTGCCGAACAAAACAAGTTTGTTCAAGATAATTCAAGCAGGCATGATGCCGCTCTAGCCCTGTGCTGCCTATGCTTTTCCTATGGTCCTATCCCAATAGGCCGAAAGCCGCTGATTGAGACACATGGGGTTGACCAGTTCATCCGGACATGGTATTAGGCTATGGAATAGGAACAAGACAATCCAGAAGCATGTGAGATTGCTGGGTTGCTTGGGAACCAACCCTTCTACCCAAGCTGTCAATGTTTGGGCTTCATTCCAGGCCAAGAGTCATCACCACATGCATCAATCATGCTCAAAAACAAATAAACCCAGCCCAGACTCATGACTCATGAGATCTCCACATGACACTCATGTTGTCTCTGTTTGCAACATTCATAGCAAATAACAAGGGCGTGTGACTTGCCAGGGTGGAGCAAGCAAGACATAGTTGACTAACCAAGCAGAGTCAGTCACACATTTGCCAATGCCGGATCAATCTACTTGGCGTGAAGCATCTTGGCACAGGCATTTGGACATGCCTAGGACGACAAGCTGTGCTGTAAGAGATTTGCTCCGGTTATGTGACTGTGGCTGTGGGTCAAAATCTAGCCCCCCACGCGCAGGCAAGGCCTTGTACAAGTCAGATTCGCGATGCTACGTACAAACAGAATAACACACCCTACATCACCCTACTGGTACCATGTGAGGACAAAGGAATGTAACAGATGGCTGCGTAGGCTTGTTTGCGTAGGCTTGGAGACCCTTGTTGACCATGGGGACCGTGGGAACCTGCCGCTTTCGGCAGGCCATCGGCCCAAGGTCTCCGATACGACCTACCACGACCCAAGTGTTTGCGTTTGGGGTAGACTGTCCTGTGGGTCCAAGGCCTGCTCACTCGAAGCTGATGAGGACACCAGCAGTGAGGAGTACGACCATTCCCGAGATGATCTCTTGACGAGCCTTGCTCAAAAACGAGCCCATGTGGACCAGGGCCATGTGCCAGTAGATACTAAAGCAAATCAGCTGGCAGCTTCAAAGCACGCCACGCATAGTTTTTTCCGACACGAGAAAGCATGGTCACTGCACCAACCATTCGCTCATTTTTTTGCATCGAGGATTTCTGAGAAGGACGTCCTTGAGGTAGATGTGCAACACAACACCTACGGTGCAATCACCTTGGCACTGGCACAAGCCTTCGCTGCTTGGCTTGGCTAAACACAGCTGAAAAGGTGTTGGCTTGGTCGTTTCAGATCGATTTTTTGCATGCTTTATACCTCAAGTCGGTCCTGCAGTTTGGTGCTATCTAATCTTGTGCTTGCTGTTATTTTCTTTCCAGAAGTTCACAAGCCAGTTGAGGATGACAACTATGTGCGGGAGCACGGCAGACATCAGGCAACGACACGTTCCGCAATCTCAACCGTGCCAACATTGAGAGTATGGGTAATGTTGTTGTTTTCCGGAAAACAGAACCAGCCGAATGACCTTCGATGGGATTCGTTGTAACCGATGTACTACCGATGTACTGTGACCGCTCTGAGACGCACCCTTTTGTCATAGACACCATTGGGAGGAAGACACCCTTCGTTGTACTCCGGTCTAATGTGTTCATGAAGATTGTGAGTTCGGTCTCATGCAGAAGACGACCAAGAGCGCCGATTCTTCAAGCGTTCGATGCGGCACATCGCTCTTGAAGGTCCTGGGCCGCATTGCCAATGGCATCCTGCTCTTCATTTTGGGGTCTTTGATCCAAATTGTTTCCCTGGCTGCGTTTCATGGAATGGTGCAGCAGTTGGCTGTGAAGAGAATGTATTTGTACTGTATGTATTTGTTCATAACACTGAGATAGAATGTGATGCATTTCAAAAGGTACTGTGAAAAAGAAGGTCGGGGCATGTGAGCATTTTCGTGGTTGCAGCATGTTCCTCATTCACAACATGTTAAAACGTCTGAGTTCTGGGCATTGGATTATCAACTCTTCTTTGACTCGTTTGATCTCCAACCCAATGTGACTAAGAGTTTTTGTTGGCTTCCTCCAAAGACCTTTGCTGAAGGCATTTCATTTGGTGTCTTTAACCGGTGACTGGTGTGACTGATAGTGTCACTGGTATACACTTACAGGTCCGGACTGATGAGTCTGGGCTTCCAGTCGACGCAGGTCCTGGTCGGGCTTTTGTTCTTGTTCTCCGAAGAGCGAATGCAAGATCCCTACGAGATTCTGGGCACACGCACACTGGCAGAGGACGCAGTGCTGGTGTGCGCCTTCCTGGCCTTGAGAGGATTCGTTCATGGCCCCGAATGTGAAGCCCAGCAGGTGCACGCGAATTCCTGGCACGAAGTCAATCATCCTTTTTGCAAGCCAGGTGTCATGACACCTCAGGATGCAGCAACAAAAGGAGTATATACAGTAATTACTCGGAGTAGGTGGCTCTTGAGACCGGAACCAGCTTTGCACCTGACAGGACCTCTATGATGCTATGGAGAAGAATGAGAAACTCCCAGAGCATCTTGACCAATTCTGGTCCTTCCACATGGTCCTGCCATCATACGAAGGGTGATACTTTTGGGCCTTTAGGTGCTATGCAGTCTGCGCACAGTAGTCTGTGTGTTTTCCTTTAAATATTCATAGATATTGTTTGTTTGTTTGTTTTTTTTGAACTCCAACTCCACTGTCCAGGATTTGAACCGCCATTGATTTCATAACCTGATTCCTGAGAAGGAGGTTCAAACAAGACTCACAAGCGGCCTTGAATCCGTTCCTTGTGTGACATTCTCTTCCCTTCGACCCTTTGAATGGTAGGCTTCTTAGATCTTCTTGTGTCAGGTCTCGGTTTGCTTTCTCTTTCTTGGGAGCAATCAGGGATTGTTATCAGCCCCAGACCAAGGTCCAATGCGGCTGTGGGGCTGTGCTTGAAAGACCACAGTGTACCATGGTCCCAGTCCATGGTAACCTTCGTGTGGCTTTGCAGCTTGCTTTATGTCTGGACCTGCAGCCCCTGATTCTTCAAAAACGCGCCCCAAACAGTGTTCCGAGTTCTTCGGTCATCTTCGTTCCAGTTCTATCGCAAGACTTTGCTGGGTCGCACTTCAAACAAAAGGCGGAGACGTGGTGAGTAGTGACAGGTCAAGAACAGGTGAGTCTCTTGCAACCAGTGTGAGTTTATTGTCAAATCCCAACTGCTGAAACGGCTGTCCCTTGAGGCAAGTGCACGCCAGCCATTGTGAATGCAGCTGCGGGGTCGCTGGTCATTGCCTCTATGCCCAGAGTGGGGACTATAACAATCAACAGCAAGCAGGGGAAGCTGCAAATCTGTAGCCTCCCCTTGATTGCAAAGTTGATCACCATCTTCATGGTGCAACTGCCTTTGCTGGCCATTGATCTCCTGCTGGCTTTGGTGGGCATGAAGTTCTTGATGTATTGCAATGCACTTGGCAAACTGATTGTCAAGGCGATCAGCCTGTCCTTTATCGAGACTGTCTCAGGTGTTGTTTTTGTGACTTGCCTGCACTGTTTTGTGGAAATTGAGATCACCGGAATGTTCTACACTTCCAGGGCTGAAAACTGGGCGACATGTCAAAAGTCCAAGTGGGTGGATATGTTAATATATGTTCCAATGCTTCAGCTTGCAGTTGGTCCATGGAATTTCTGCTGATTCTGCTGCATGTTTGTGAGGATGGATTGGCGTCCAAAGCCTTTCAGAGTGAAGTAAAAAGAACCTCTGTGGTGGCAATCTCGGGAAAGGGCCCTATGCATTTGGAATCCTGGTTCTCTGGGCTCTTGAGAATCATCTTCATTGTCGGAGTGACTCTTTGGTATTGCCGCATGAAACATGGTGGTCTTCAGGATTTTCGCCTGGCATGTTTTCAGTACAAGTTTCCAGGCTGAAATTACATGTTCACTGCACAAAACTTTACTAGTCAAGCATAATGGCTGTTTCTGGATCCTGTTTAATAATGAAATCTTGTGCTTCAAGGTATCAATTTATATTTCCAGATTGTGGATATTGCGGTTTGGATTTCTTCGGCATCCATTTGGCAAATTGAAATGATTATTTGCAATAAATTCATCTATAATCAATTAAAAATTGATTTTTTGAATGCTAGAAATAAAAAAATATATAATATATAAATAATTAATAATATGTATAATTATATATAGTTAATAAATTATAATTATTAATATATTTAAAGAATTAATAATTAATATAATTCGAATATAAATAAAAATAATTTATAAAATATTATGATTAATAATATAATAGATTCGCAATAATGAAATATTGTATAAAATTTAATATGAATTGTTCGATTTATAATATGGATTTTGTTTATTTATATATTGAAATTTGGAATTTAATGGAAAATGTTGTATTTTTAATTTGGCATTAATATTTGTTTGGTTTATGTTTTTTTATTTATTAGTTATGTATGGTCAAAATAAAGAATATGTAGGGGGTTTTATGGGAAGAATATGTTCTTTTATTCGTTTATAGAAAAATTATATATATTTTCTTTTATTTTCGTAAATTATTGTTTTACCGATTTTTTTTTGTACGATTTTGCGGTTTGTACGATTTTTTTCTACCGTGTTGTATTTTGGAAGAAATGATTTGTGCTAATAAATTCCCGATTTGTTATTTTGATGTGGGGTCGGAAAATGGCCCGAGATTAGATGAAATGGAAGAAATACCCGGAACCATATGTATGTTCCGATTTCTTTCATTTGAATGGTTGTAGGTGGTTTTATTATTAAAAAAAGAAAAGGATAGAGAAGGAAGAGGAAGCGGGGAAGAGGAGGAGAAGGAAGAGGACAAGGAACAGGAAGAAAAGAGGAAGGGGAAGAGGAAGAGCAAAAAGAACAGGAAATGGAAAAGGAAAAGAGAGAGGAAGAGAACAAGGAATAAGAAAAGGAAGAGGAAGGGAAAAGGAAAACACAGAGGAAGAGCAAAAGGAAGAGGAAGGGGAAAAAGAAAAGGAAGGGGAAAAAGATAAAAAAAGGAAAGAGGAAAAAGACGAGGAAGCAGGGAGGAGGAAGATAAGGAACAGGAAAAGGATTTATTGATTAGAGGTGAAGAATAGAAACCAAATGGAAGAAATATGACTAGGAAGCAAAAAAAGGAAAAACAAACTAACAACCAATAAAGGTTTCGGAGAATATTAGGTTATTCTCTTCTTTAAATTAGGTGACGTGCACGCGTGGAAAAAAAAAATCTCTCCCTGCCATTTCTCTTAATTTTTCTAATGATAGAGCAAGCCTTTAATACAAATGGAAGAAATTGAACACTTATTTTATGCAACAAGGTATTTCTTCCATTTGCTGTTGCTTGGATTTTTCTCGAAAAATGGATCTTCCATTTAATAAATTGTCTTAATATCTTCCCAAATATAGCACGGTACTATAATAGATACGGCATTGAATAGGTTATACAATTTAATTGGATAGGAATTGAATACCTCCGATTTATTTGATTTTAGAGGTGGATTGCATTTTTGTATTTTTATTCGATATTGATTTTAGAAATATTAATTTATATGTTTTCTTTTTTGCTTCTGCTTGGGAATATTATTTATTTTAAATGGTTTGAATAAGTTAGGTGGATTGTGCCGACGATTTTTTATCTGGTATTGAGCTTAAATATATTAGCTTATTGATAGAATTATTGCAGAAGAATTTTATCGAAATATATATATTATATATTTGTTATGTACGGATCTTTTAAAGACCTTTGGCCCATGGTCCTAATGGATAGGGCACGACATGGATATCTTCTCCATACCTTTTTCCTGATGAATATTGTTGTAATCCCCCGGGCACGGCCGCCCATGGCTCTAATGCACAGGGCACGGCCCGGCCAAAGCCCCACCCCGTAATGGACCTGACACGGCCGCCCATGGCTTTATTGGACAGGGCACGGACCGGTCAAAGTCATATGCGGCCGTTGTTTCCGAGTAACCATCACGGTGTACGAAAGCATTGTTGTCATAGCCCCAAAGTTTGTTCTCAAGAGCCCCAAGAATACATTTGTTGCTGGGGACCGCGGGCCAGGGCTGCAAGCCTGCGGGATCCTTCGCCCGGAGTGTGCAGCCTCACCGCTGCCTAACAGCGGACTAATATTCTTCAGAGTCGTCCAAGACGATTATATTCTGTTGATGATTAATCGTGTTATATCTACGGTATCCATGACCGTTTGTTTTATTTTCAAATAATACAGTCGATGATCTGTTTAAAATTTCCTTCCTTTGATTGCGACAGGGCACGGCCCAGCGTCCAGTTTAGCAGGCTGAATTCCTGTTTCAAATGCCTTCCTTATGCGGCACACGTTTGCCTTATGCACAACAGAGGATATTTCATTGGAATCGCTTAATCCGATATTCTTTATTTCTGGGCGTTTGCAAGTGACCATGAATTGCTTTCTCTTATTTCAATTGTTCCCATCCTTTGCGCACGATTTTTTCTTGTGATTCTTTTGGATGAAGAGAAAGGTTGAAAGATAGAAGGCAAAAATTGAAGGGTAGAATTGGATGGAAAGAAAAATTGAAGTATAAAAAGGAAAGATTAAAGGATGGAAAGAGAAATATGAAGTGCTAAAGGATATTGTTGAAGGATAGCAAGGAAAGATGGAAAATAAATAGGAAAGGTTGAAGTATAGCAAGATAAAACGACATGTTGAAGGATAGGGCGGAAAGATTGAACGATAAAAATGAAAGATTAAAGGATAAAAGAAAGATAAAATAGAATATTTGAAGGATAGAAAGATATAAAGGAACATTTGAAAAAATTAATGATGGAAGGGTAAGGAAGAAATTATAAGGATGAAGGGACATATTTATATATTAATATATCTGTTATATTTATGATATATTTCATTAATGTAAATAGTGTAAAAATTAAATATAAAATCAAATATAAATATAAAATAGATATATATATTATATTTGATAAGCATTAATATTATTCATAAATATTTCAAAATTTCAATAATTTTAGATATATTAAAAAATATAGATTATTTTCTATAAAATTTTGAAAATAATTTTTTAATATATAAATAGATTCAATATATATATTTAATTCTATTCGCACGTTTAAATTGTATATTAAAATATCTATTGTTTAATGCTATGATTTAAAAATACTTTATCTATATATATATATATTTAAATGCTAAAAATATATATATTTCAAGCATTTATATTTAGAGAAATTATTAATATAATTGGAAATCCTATAACTATTTAATAACAAAAAATATTGATCATTTAATATTGTTTTTGTAATATTTATTTAATCTTATATATGTCGGAATTGATATGAACCTTCGTTATAATGATCCGCTAGTTTTTCCTTGAAAAGGAAAATGAAATGAAATAAATATTTTCAAAAGATGAAAGGAATTGATTATTTTAACACGGATCATAAAAGGAAACAAAAAAAAAAACACAAGTTCTTCTTAAATATAAAATAAATAGATCTTTTCAATAATTTCAATTATCCCGTTTTGTTTCCAATTATGAATAATTTCATAATGATATTTATGATCTATAATGAATGAAGATTTATCTTTAGAAATAATTCGTTCCTATTTTATATTAAATTTCAATAATTATATGTTCTAAAGAAATATTCAACATGAATGAATTTATACATAATATATTTACTTAATTATCTTGATAAATAATGAATTCAATAATATAGAAAAGGTTTATCGAAAATGCAATATATAGAAAATATTATATAAAAAAACAATATTCCATCGCATAATTTCAATAATATCCTGTATAATTTAAAATATAATATATTTTATTCTTTATAATATAGAATAAAAATCTAGAATTAATTCATATAAATCTAAATATATATCAAAAATCAAATATATAAATTACTATATATCAAAAAATAATTCTATATTATATATCAAAAACAGAATTACTGCATCGAATATCAAATAAAAATATTCCAAAAAATGATTTCATATTTTAATTCAAAAATATATTTTGCATCTTTATTCATTTATCATCTAATTTCGATTATTCTTAATCCTCCTCCGATTCCTATATTATTAATATGCTTATTTCTATTGCTAACTACTATTTCCAATATGATTAATCAAATTACGACTATTTTTCCCCACATTGTTGTGAGGGGTTCTTGTTTTTTTTGTTGCTTGCCAAGGGGTCGGATGTACGCCCTGGCGTCGTCTGGCGTCAGCTGGGCACCGGCGCAGATTTCGTGGCAGGCGCAGTACTTTGCTGCTTGCCAAGGGGTCGGATGTACGCCCTGGCGTCGTCTG